CAGGTTTCAGTTTACCACTTCGCCGTCTGTGTCACCAAATTCCCATGCCTCCAAAATGAACATACGCCTGGGTCAGAGTTTGCTTACCAGTGCGCACATTTTACCGTCAGGTTTGTTTTTATAGATCACAAACTGCGTGGGAAAAGGCGTACGCCAGTTTCAGACCCCGTTTTGGGCGTACGCAACGGTTAGAAATGAGACCCCTGATCTCTAACCATCCACGGTCTCAGCAGAGAGACTCACTGACACAGAGGGAAGCTTTCATGCTTCAAAAAGAGACGTAGTTTAATAACTGACCTTTAAATGAAAACAGCATTTAGTGAAAAGGTTTCTGAAGATTTGAAAGTCATTAACAGACAGGATAATCAAGGTGTGAGCAAACCCTTAAAACCCAGCCCTTAAAACTCTGGACAGGAAACCACAACAGTATCATCATTGTGATATTCTTGATGAATATAAAATTCTTAGCTTTGACAATTTATTTTTTTATACCGATGTCCGCTTAGTGTATGAAATAATCCATGATGCTGCTCCCCCACCTTTGAAAAGCTTTGTGAAACTTCGCTCTGAGTTGATACGCAGATCTTCAAGGTCTGCCTCTAACGGAGATTGCAGTATTACTAAACGTGGCTCTGCTTTAGCACAATCTGTTTTTTCTTTTAAAGCCATTAAAGAATGGAATAGTCTTCCAACTACTCTTGAACTTTGCACAAACTTCTGCACTTTCAACCGGAAAGTCAAAAAATTTATTTTAAGGAACCAGTCTTGTCAGCATTAATGTGTCATCTCGACAACCTTTTAGAGCTCTCAGGGAAACTTGGACATAATGTTTTAATATCTGTAAATTGATCTATGTCTTTCTTCTCTCTTATGAAATGTGTGTGTGTGTGTGTGTGTGTGTGTGTGTGTGTGTGTGTGTGTGTGTGTGTGTGTGTGTGTGACTGCCTGGTTGATTTGTATTTTGCTGTTGCCATCATCTGCCCAGGGACAACAGACAGAAATTAGCTAGCAAGATAAATCTGGTACAAAGCGTCTCTTCTCTTCTGAGACTAATGTTTTTTTGTACGCTGTCCCTGATTCAAATAAACGATTAAATTAAATTAAAATGAAACTATGAAACTACAGAGAAATCAGGTCAGTAAGGAAAGTCTCCAAATGTTGAATGTTGCTGTTTGAAGTGTTTCACTCACATTTCACATCAATAGAGATCCATTTATAGGTCGGCTTTCCCAGATCGTTCTCAGCTTTACATGAAAACTCTCCAGAGTCAGAGGACTTGATGGAGCTGAAGACGAGCTGAGCTCCTTCACTAAGGTATTGAGGGGTCTGATTTCTCTTGTACCATTTAAAAGTAGCTGCTGGGTTAGCATCACTGCTACAGGTCAGAGTCACTGAACTGCCCTCCACTATCTCAGCAGAGGGACTCACTGACACAGAGGGAAGCTTTGGAGCATCTGGAGGAGAATCAGAGAGACCTTTGTCATCCACATCAGATGATGATGATGAACATATTACATTCTAACTTAGCTTTTGGTTTTGAAATTGAGGCTCATGACAGCTGAATAAAGGTTTTTTTTTACATTGAAACAGATAAACAGGACACTCTATGAAAAATCTAAATAAATAACAAATACCACTGAGGTACATGCTGCTATGAGGCACCATTTAATAGTTTAAAGATTCCATCTGATGGTGTGAATCAGTGAAGACTGTAAATAAACTCACACACTGGAGGAGACGGGCACTTCTCATGTCCTGATAGAGCACAGGAGTAACTGTCTGTCTGAAGAAGCTGCTCTGGTGAATAATAAGATGAAGTGCTATGTTTGAATTTCTGTCCGTTCCTGAACCAGATGTAGGAGGTTTGACTGGAAAGTCCACTGAGACACTGAAAGAGCAGAGCCTTATATGGTCTGCTCACCTTCACCTGGAAATCTGAACATGTGAAGAAACGTCAACTGTTTTCACAAAACATGCACATATTAAAACATGTATTTATAATGTATTAGAAACAGTGAGCTCAGAAATATTGAGGTGAAAGATTACCTGTGACTGACAGAGTGACCCCAGGGTGACCATAATAACTGTCTTTGTTTATTATGAATCTAAACCTGTACACAGTCGAGTCTGTCTCTCTCAGGTTTGTGATTCTCAGAGTGCATTTGTTCTCATCACAGATATTCTTCACACGACCTGAATACTCTGAAACTGTTTCTACATCTTTGTAATGAAAACCATCTTTTCTCAACCAGAATGTTTTCTGAAGTGAGTTAACTTGTCTATTTATCCTCTCTGGGTATGTGAAGGTGCAGTTCATCTCCACAGTTGATCCTTTATAAGCACAGATCTGAAGAGAAGAGTAAGTCACTCTCCAGCTGTCCTGACCCTGAACCACTGTAACACAGAGCACATCAGGAAACAACCATCAACATCCATAACTTTAAAAAGAAAAAGGAAAAGGAAAAGTCTCAACATATAAAAAACAGGTTTGTATCCAAACAGGAAGTAAAGCACCCTTAACATAAAACATTATAATATCTACAATAAAAGCATAACATTTAAAATGTAAAATAATGGAACTTCAAACATGTGATTAAAGATATGATTAATCATGATTCAAATGTGAAAGCTCTAGTGTAAAAATAGACTGTATCATAAAATTGACGGTGCAACGGATTCAGTCAAAGGAGAAAGATTTAGAGCGCCCCCTGCTGACTGACTTCAGTATAGGTCAAACCTCGCCTCCTCCAGGATAACAGAAAGGCCATGGGGGTCAACAATGAAATCTAAATGCATGTAGGGTAAAAAAATAAAAATAAACCGGTTTTGCGTAGATAGTAAAATCAATTGTGTCATTTTTTAAGTTGTTTTTTATTAGACACAGCGAGAGAGGACGTAACGAACACACAAGAGTCTTGGAACTTTCAATAACAGTGAGTGTCTGCTTCAAATTGACACAAGAATCTGTTCTTCTGTTGATTGAACACACCTGAGGGATTTTTATGTTTCTCTGTACGTTAAATGTTTTCGTTAGAGGAAGTAGCATGACGTCTTCCAGTGGATCCCTACTACGCAGACTCTGGTTGCAAATATGCAATATGTAAGCGCCCATCATGAGGATCATTTGGCTTCATCTTGTTAAACAGAAGGAGCCTGAGGGATGTTGTCCATTTGTATATACAGTTAAAGAAGAGTAGAAGATGTTCACTTGTTTCTACAGTTAATCTGCAAGTCGTTGAGACCAGACATCATCCAGTCTGAAGGTGTAGAGAACGTTAAATGTGTTATTTAGACCTGTGAACTTTACGGTTGTAAGAGGAAGTATTGATTATCAGAGAGAAGAACGTCACTTTAGAGATGTTATATTTAGAGGGTAATCCCTCTCCTTCACCATTGTAGGATGAAAAGACAGTTTTATGTATTTTTGATGTGGCTGGGTCAATAATGCTCGTTTAGGAAGTGAAGGGCAAGAAATTCTTCATCATCCAAACATCGGTGAGTGCTAACAAGCTAACATAAGTTAAGGTTAGCTGACGATAGTATCTGGGTCTCTGTCAGTCAGTGTTCTGGGGCAGTAATGTTCGTTAAAGGCAGGAATATTTAGATCAAGTTAACACAATCTTTAATGTCATGATGAGGAGAAGTCTGTTCTTTTGTTCCCTCACAGGGACAGCAGAGCGTCTAACAGCATTAATCCACAATCTCCTCCTCTCTGGGTTTTCTTTCAAACATTCTGTAGAAGAACAACCCCGGGCTCGTCTCCTCGTCGGTTAGTGCATCACATTCAACAACAACTGTCTCTCATTTGAAACATGGAAAAATTAAACTGATAAAAAAACACGTAGGTGGCCACTGAGACCAATAACTTAGAGCCTTTCTCGCCCGCCAGGTTGGCGGTTCCATAAGCATGCGACGTCATGTGAAAACTATGACATGATTATAAGAGAGGTTTTGCCATACTTGGATGGTCTGTGGTAAGTTTGCTGTTGTGAAAACTGTTTCAAAAAAGCAGAACTATGAGGTGTGAGAAACAGAGCAGACACTAAAACTTAAAGATACGATCTTAAAAACTGTCAACACATCATGGAAACATTTCACTTGAAAAATGAAGTAGCAGGGTTTGGTGGAGACGTTTGATTAAAAAAAGAGAAGATACTTCAATGAGGGACAAGTTTCCATCCAAAAAACTTTAAAAGGGATTTAAAATATATGAAGATAGAAATTGTATGAAAGAAATTTTGCAGACCAACTGCTTAAGAACAAATACGAAAAAGAGGCGATCCAACTAAAGATCTTCCTGTTAAACATTAATCAACAAAAATCTGAAAACTAACTAATGTCTGGAGAAGCCACACAACAGTATAAATAACTGTTTGTCGTATATCTGAGAAGATTTCCTTTAACATAAACTGTGATCCACTTTTCACACAGGTGACCTTCAGTCTGCATTAATCAGTCCCACATTTTCCCTCTTTAGATTAAATGAATGTAACTGTAGATATGAAGTACCTGGCACAGAGAGGAGGAGGACGATAAATCCACTCACTGCTGCAGTTAAAGTCATCGCTGCTCCTCTCATCTCTCTGTGTGACTTTAGGGACAATAAAACATGTTAGCAGATTAATAAGAACACAGCAGGACTCAAACAGTATCAGACATGTTGATAAATTATTCTACTTACAGTGAAGAAGGATATCGTCTGAGAGAAGACTGTCCTCCTCTGCAGTGAGTGAGCAGAAGACAGATATCAGGGTGTTTTTAACGACTACATTTCCTTCCTCTTTGGAGGATTAACATGTTTGATAAGACAAACAGGAAGAACTCACATCACAAAGAAGTCCAGTTGGTACCAAACTTGTTTGAGTGCAAACATATTTTTGTCTAACAGGACATAAAAACTGAATAAAGGGTTATTGTAGTGGGAGCAGTGGTTCTAGTCTGTTCTTCATTGTTGGCCTTGAATGCAGCCTCTGAAAGTAGGTCAAATCCTCACCTGGTCTAGCTCCTTAATTAGCTGAACCACATATAAAGTACCTGTGGCCTTGTCTGCCTGTTGCTTGCCACATGTTCCTTTCTCTGAGGTAGGTTATGCATTCATGATTATTTCAAGCTTGTTTAAGTTATTCTGCATTTACTTAAAGTAAAGAGTTTAATTTGTCTTAAAACGGTCCCCTGTCTGCGTGTCTGCCTCGAGTGTACTGGTGTCTGGTTTGCTGAGGTTTGTCTTCTTAAAATAGTATAAATTCACTTAAGATGTGGAGCTATTTTAATGGAACAATTTAATCCCCTCCTGGAGTGTCTGTTTTCCTGTTGGTTGACTTACCTGAAGTCTTGGTACCTGTCACCTTTTGCGTAAGGGTAGTCGTGAAGCCAGTGTTGAATAGGGTAAAGATGTTCATTTAATTATTTTAGTTTTTTTAGTTTTATAAGAGTTATAATATGTAATGTGTTTCTTTATGTCTTTCAGGCCTTTCATCGGCTGCTGTTTTGCCTGTTAACGTTTTTCTTATCTTAGTGTTTTGCCTAGGGTGGCTGTTTTTTGCTTTTAGTGTTTAGCTTTGAATGACTAGTGTTTTATGGATTTGCTGTTAAATTGTATTTATTTTTTAATTGAACCAACTGGTTTATTTGCTTTTCTTTGCTAATACTTTCTTTATTTCCCTTTTTAGTGAAGTGGCTGCTGGTGGGGGCTAGGCCCTCTAGGTGGTTCCCTGCACTGTTTGTAGTTGTAAGTGTGCTGGGACACTGTCAAAAGGTTCTCCCATACCTTCTCACCTGCTCCCACCTTCCCTACACTGACTGTGGCCTGCAGAGTGATTAGGCTGAGTGAAATCACCTGAGCTTAATTGAACATAGTGAGGCCTTCAGTTGGGTTGTTTCTTGTATAAAGCCAGAGTCTGGGGTGAAATGTTTGTTGGTGGCAGCTTTTTCTTTCATTTTAATTAATCTAGTTGTTTTATTAGATTACCTGGGACTTGACCCCAATTTTGATGTTGACTTACAATCAGTAATGTTACAGACACAATAGTTTGCACCTGTTTGCTATGAGTGGTTGAGTAGATTGCTCTCCTGGAACAAACCCTTGGATGTTAGGCTGCCTCCCTGCTACTGATGATTTGAATGAAAGTGTTATTTTAGAATAAATTAAATTGTAATAAACCTGTTTATTCCTCTCCCTAAATTGAGCAATAACTAAAACCCATCTCTTAACAGATACTCCCAGTCTCTGTTTTCACTAAATTTTCATTTGGAACCACGTCTCTGTCTTCAGTTGTCGAATCTGTGTTGCCTTTGTCTGAATAAGGTGTTTATATTTTTCCTGGGGTGAAATTCCCCGGGTGACTTTGTCGGTCAGTTAGATTATTGTTTATTGTACACCAACCCCTTAGTGCCCTTGCCACATTTTCATCAGAATGTGGGACCCTTGGGTGCAGGGGCGTGTCCAGACTTTTTGGACTCGGCTCGTGCACTGAGTGACTAAGTAGTCTGCACAAACACACAAATATTAATTACTTATTTATTTTACTTTCAACTATGATGTCTTGTGTAGAACAAGATAATTGGAACATGCATATATTCCTAATTTAATTCATAATTAAATCAAACAAGATGGATGCTCAAAGTCTCAATTTAAAGTAATAAAAAATTGCACCCACCAGAGGGATTGGGTCAATATAACAAATTACTAATGTCAACCACCAGTGGGACCTGCTGTGCACATTATTCACATCAACCATTTGAGGGGAGTATATTGGTGTTTACTCAAACCCGCTAAGAGGGGTAGTATGGATTTCTCTCAAACCACAACTTTGAAGCAATACAGAAGAAACTCCCAGAAGGAGGAAATACACAAGTATCTGCTTCTAGCAGGTTTAGCTTGTTCAATCATGGCTTAGGGTGTGTCTTTTTTACTGCGGAGCTGCAGTATTTAGACTACACTCATATGTCAAATTGTTGGGAACTGGCACAGAATTTGACACACATTCTTGTGAGACATCATAACTCTCTTCTATGAGCAGCTCTGTCAGGCTAGGTAGCTAAGTTAATGGGAAGAGACGAGGTGTGTGCAACTGTTGGACAGACCAATGGGTTTGGAATCTTGCAAAGCTGGAGGTTCAGTCACAGGCCTGTAGAATTAGGCATGAAGTATGCACATTTAAACAATCTCAATGATGTGGTAGCAGATTAAAACTCATCTGATTTAAAGGCGTATGGTGACGCTTACAAAAACACAAGGTTACATCAGCTCACACACAAATCACAAACAAATAAACCACATTGCCTGAATGAATTTAAAGCAAAATGCAGTATTGAAAACAATGTTTCCACAGTATAATGGGTGGAAAACAGTTAAAATCACCTTACTGAAATGAAGCTGGTTTCAACTATTAATTTATCTGTATGTTTGGGACTTTATTAGGGTATATAAGCTTTGGTCAGTAAATTAAAGTCAAGGTTTGTGGAGGTAAATCTATGCAGCATTGTGGTACGGTCCAGTGAGTAGTTAAAGTTTTTGCTGAGGTCCTGTGTTGTGTCCAATCAGTGCACAGTAAAATAGTCAAAGGACATTAAGACCAAAAAAAGCAGCTGTTTTACTACTTCCACCACATTTATGTCAGTTCCTCCTACAAAATAGAGGTGACTGTGGAAATGATCTTGTGAGTTTGTACTGATGATTGTTATCCTGTGTTTTTCATGATGTTTACTGTGATTATAACATTGAAAACCACATCACTAACAGAGACAGCAGAAGGACATATTTTACATCAGTAAGAAATAGAAAGCCTTTATTGTCATTATACAATATAAAGAGAAATTCACCCAAAGTTTCAAAGAAAAAAATGGTCATAAGTTATCACGTCCTGACGAGTGACTTATAATCAAACGTCATCATAGTCATAAGATTATTCAGAGGTAAAACCAATATTTACAAAAACTAAACTTTGAGTGAAAAGTCATAGAGCAGATTGAAAGGTGACTGGAGAGGTCCTTGCAGAACATCTCAAAGTGATTCAGTTCAAGCTGCAAAAGAAAACCATCTCCTAAACTCTCTGCTCCATGCTGTTGTTAACTTCCTGCTGCTGAAGGTCAATGTTTCCACTTCCCCCACATCCTCCACAGCCTCGCTCTCCACAGTGAGTCCTGCATCTGGTTCAACTGCATCTGGAGAAAATCACATCAAACTAAAGTTATAGTTGTAACTGTGACTCTGAATGTGAAGTGGGCCTGTTTGATTCAGAGCAGGAGGCTCTAACCTGACTGGACTTCACAGCATGTGTTCCTGCTCCTCTGTGTCTTCTGTCTGTGCTGCAGTGACGGCTGACACGTTCTCATACACAACATCCACCTGATGACAGACGATAAGATTTGATCAGAAATATGTTTCATCAGGTTTTACAGTGATGTAGGAAAAGATTGATAAGTAAGGTCTCTCTCTCTCTGTCTCTCTCTCTCGCACCTCGATCATCTCTGCAGGTTCATTTGGTTCAGTGGTGGAGTTCAGAGTTTTCTTCTTTCTGGATTAAATCAGAAAACAACAAATCCAAAAATGAAGGTCATGAAAAATCAATTTAAAATTAGTTTGAGGGATAAAACAAAAGAGATGTGAGATGACAGATTAATATTAATGATTGTTACCTCGTCCACAGAGTCAGGAGAAACAGAGAAATCAACATCAAGAGCAGCAGAGTCCACTTGATGATATGTATTATGAATGTTGAGTTCCCTGAGAATTAAAGATAGATATGTGAGACTCTTTACTGGTAGGATTAGATTGAAACATTTCATTTCTACTTAGTGATACCCTCTGTTCATCATTCAGTCACACTCTGACAAGATGGAGGTTCCTTTCTGAATTTTCCTTTTTTGTACTACTTTCTAATAGGTGAATCTGGTCTGGTGCAGGTGAATGTTAATAACTTACCTGTCACAACAAGCAGATGTAAGGTGGAGTTATGACGTCCTCTTGTGTTCTGAGCTTCACAGTAATATCTCCCACTGTGATCAGCACTGAAGTTAGAGATGGTGAAGATCTGTCCTGAAGCTGTTGGTGAGTCTTCATCCTCCTTGAACCAGGTGTAATTAGCTGCTGGGTTAGCATCACTGCTACAGGTCAGAGTCACTGAACTGCCCTCCACTATCTCAGCAGAGGGACTCACTGACACAGAGGGAAGCTTTGGAGCATCTGGAGGAGAAACATCTGTTTTAATTTCTCAACATTAAAAATGTTTGAATTGTCAAGATGAATAAACTGAAATGATATTAGAGACATATCACATGAACAGAAAAGGGGATAAGAATGAGCCTGTTTTAATATATAGATAATTAATGATTCCTTTAAGTGACTCTGTTCCAGCAGCTACAATCACAGTCAAGACATCTCATAAAAACACTGAGTATAAGAACATGAAGCACATTAAAACAAGTGGATCAATTCAAACAATCTATTCTCACTAAGACAAAACTACTGATGACTCTCTCTTTGTGTCTCAGTTTTAGGGATGTATCTGCTGCCCCCTTTTGGCCCAGCCCCTCTACTGACCAGCTGTCACTGGTTGTTAGTTCAGCATGGATAAATGTGTCTCTCCGGCTGCTGTCCGTGGTGCTGATCAGAGGCTGGTTTGAATGACAGTTTCATGGTGTTTTTCCACATGGTGACATTAATCGTCTGTTGTGGAATTGTCTGGAATGGTTGTGTGTGTCCGTGCAGGTTAGTGCAAACCAGCGTGCTCATCTGTTTGGTTCAAAGCAGAGGACCCCAAAAATAAATATATCTGTACCGGGGCCCCAGGACAAGTATGTTACGCTGCTGTATTCTCCTCTCTTCCCTTCAGGACTCCTCTTGTTCTCGGTTCAGACTTTGTTCTGCATTACACATCACAGCGTGTCCTCACAGCATCAGATGTTAGATATGATGTCGCATGGCGAAGCATTGAACGCTTCTTGTCCACACTGGATCCATTAAATGTTTATTTCTCTGCTCTGTGAATTTCAGTTTCCTTTTGTAAACAGTATAACATCTAGTGCTTTTATTTTGAAGGTGAACAAACAGAACGGTGTTGCTTTAATACAAGCCTTTGATGGAGGCGAGCAGAATAAAGTTTTGCCTCCATGTTATCAAAAGTCAAAGCTCAACATGTCAATCACAAAATATCAACGCATCACTATCTCCACTTTGCAAAATAACTAGTAACTAATAACAAGCTCTGTTGAGCGATGAGGTGTGAACAGTTCTGTTGTTTAAGAACACGTCACAAATCAGTCGAAGGTTTTTCTTTGGAACAAATTTAAGAAACTCTTCAGACGCTCACTCGGTCACGTGCTGTGAGGAGACGTTGGTACAGACAATCTCACACTGCTAACATGTATTATATAACTAACGCTCTACTCCAGCTATATTCAACATTTAAATTCAAATTAAAGATGTGTCTTTTAACCATTAGTTGTCAGTGCTCAGTGGGCTTTAGCTGCAGACTGTGAGTGTGAAGTAGAGCTAGAGGAAGCAGATATGATCAGCAAATTAAACCTTCAAATGAGAAATCAGCTCAATGTTGCTTTTCAAAGAAAATGTTTTTCACTCACATTTCACTTCAACTTTGACGTATCCAGATGTCCTCTCTCCCAGATCATTCTTAGCTTTACAGTAATACCTTCCAGAGTCAGAGGACTGAACTGAGCTGAAGACGAGCTCTGATTCTTTACTGAGTTCATGACCGTTCACGTTGTACCAGGTGTATTCAGGTGCTGGGTTAGCATCACAGCTACAGGTCACAGTCACTCTACTGTTCTCTCTGATTTCACCAGCAGGACTCACAGACGCTGAACAAACTGATGGAGCATCTTGAGGAGAGAAGAATAAAATATAACTGAAGTGACCAAAGAAGAATGAAGTGGAATAAAGTGCTGAGGGTGCAGATTGAAACCAGCTGACAACCCCTCCCTCGATGCTCCCCTCTTCACCTGCAGAGTTTACAACAATCATTAAAGCTCAGCGTACTCTGTACGATTGTTTGAAATTCATGGAGGAATGTCGACTCACACTGTACGAGTGAAATCAGGACAGAGCATTCACCATCATCAATAGATCTGTCTCATATGCACGACTCAAATACACACATGCCCAAAAAACACTTTCTCTCAACACACACACACACACACACTAACTAGCAGCTAAATAATAACAAGTGTTCCCTCTCAGCTGGAGGTCTGCAGATA